AAAAAAAAGCTATACAAGATCAGTACAGCCAGCTTGCTGGGCTCTGTCGTGGAGTGACCATTCTCGAGAGCAGTGAGCTGCACAGGCAGGAGCTCTGGGGCCACACAGACTTGGGTTTGAAACTCAGTTCTGCTATTTATTAACTGTGGATCTTTGGGCAAGTCACCAAATCTCCCAGAGCTCAGTTTCCTCCTCTGAAAAATGGGGTTAATGAGACCTTCCCCTGAATAGGCTGTTATGGAGGTTTAGAAACCACGCGTGGAGTGTCTGGCGCACAGATGGTGGCCATAGCGAGCTGTCTGGCTGTTGCACAAAGGTGATCTCTGATCCCCTCATAGCTGGCAGGATGGCGCTCTATCTGCCCTTTGAGCATTTCATGGGGCAAAATGGGAAGCTGCCGGTGAGGAAGGGACAACCCCATATCTGGAGAGCTCATTTCACCCCCAAAGGCATCCTTCTGACGGGGAGCACTGCCCGCACTGCTCCTGACCTTGCAGACAGACATCTGGTTGGTGGTGAGAGTGCCTGTCTTGTCAGAGCAAATGACAGAGGTGCAGCCCAGGGTTTCCACGGAGGGCAGGCTCCTCACGATGGCGTTCTTCTTTGCCATCCGGCGGGTGCCCAAGGCCAGGCAGGTGGTGATCACGGCAGGAAGACCTGTGGGGAGGGAGGGAGGAGTTGAGTGGGCAGTATGTGGGGAGGGAGGGAGACTAGTGTTGTTAGCTAAACGATGGCCCCTGAAGATATCAGGTCCTAATCTCTGGAACCCGGAAGTATTACCTCACTTGGAAAAAGGGTCTTTGCAGGTGAGATTAGCGAATGGGAGGAGAAAGAAGCTGCCATACCTTCTGGGATTGCAGCCACAGCCAGGGCCACGGCGATCTTGAAGTAGTAGATGGCTCCACGGAACCAGGAGCCCCCGTGGACGGGATCGTTGAAGTGGCCGATGTTGATGAGCCAGACGGCCACGCAGATGAGGGAAATGACCTTGGAAAGCTGCTCCCCAAACTCATCCAGCTTCTGTTGCAGGGGGGTCTTTTCCTGTTCGGTGGCCGCCATTTGGTCTCGAATCTTCCCAATCTCGGTGCCCACGCCAGTAGTGGCCACGATGCCCAAGGCCTTGCCGGCTGCAATGTTGGTGCCCTGGGGAAGGAGAAGAGGCCAGAAATCAGGTGAGAGGTGACCCTCATGTCACATCCCCCCAGCTGAGAGCCTCATCTCTTGTCACACCGCCATGCTTCTCCCAAACCAGGGTCTCCGGCTGGAGCATGTGAGAGCTGGCCCTGGATTGCTCACCGAGAAAAGCATGTTCTTCTTGTCCTGGTTGACAGCACGGGGGTCAGGGACAGGGTCTGTGTGCTTGATTACAGATACAGACTCGCCTAAGGAGAAGGGGCCAAGGGGTTTTCAGATGACATCATGTCCTTCTCTCTGACCTCTCACTCCTAACTCCCTCCCTGCTCAGCAAGACGGGGCCTGATAAGGACCAGCCATCCTGGAGATGTCTGGACTCCGGAGGAAGTCCCTGGAGGTAATGGGAAGTCCACTGCACTTAGAGCAAAAAGACCTTGGCCCTAGCCCCAGCGTGACCGCTTACAAGCTGTGTGACTTTCATCACTTAACTTCCGTTTGCTCCTCTGTAAAATGGGGACAAGAATATGTACACTTCAGAACAACGTCTTGGTGGAAATCAAATAAGCTGACGTGTCTGAAAGTGCACCGTCAACTGTCAAGCACGTTCTTGGGAGGCAGGGGTCCCTGCCCTTGGGACCTTGTCTCCCTCACCCTAATAGCAGGGGCTCAGGGCTATCACCCTGGGCCAGCCCAGCCTGGCCGCCTTGAACCACAGAGCCATGGAGAATGTTCTCTGCTCTTCACGCTCTCCTTCCCAGTGGAGAAACAGAAGCAGCCATGGTTTTGATTGTAACTCAACCCTCCATCTTGTCCTAGAATATTATGGTTCCTCCCTTATGGACTTTTGAGGACACGGAAGGAGACAGGACAGTTCTCTGGGTGTGTACATCCCTGTGTCTATGGGGAAGGGGAGGGCTGATGGCCACATAGAGAATGGGCACAAATGTCCGGCTCTCTTCCATGACCCCTTGTGTTTCACACTTGTGACAGAGTGAACAAAGTTGAGCACCACTGACACTGCTGCTACCACGGAGCCAGGAGAGGCCTCGCGCTGGGGTTCTCTGTCCACCTGGAATCTGTCTCTGCTTGACCACCCAGCTCTCCCCCCTGCACCCTCTCCCACGCACTTCTCCCCAGGCCAGCAGACCTGTCAGGATGGACTGGTCCACCCGGAGGGTGGTGGATTTGATGGAGAGGATGCGGATGTCTGCAGGGACTTTGTCCCCCACTGCGGAGAGAGTAGAAAAGAGTGAGGTCAGTTGCGAATGGAGTTCTCTTCCTTCCTAAGAAAAACCCCATCCATGTCTGATTTCTACCCATCAATCCTGCAGGTCTCAGGGAGGTCCCAGGGCTGGGGCCTCGCCGGGGCTCACGTCAGGCCCTTGCACAAGCTCTGGCAGCCCGGACAAGCACCCCTGTTGTAGCACCCATCCCTGCTGTCCCCTTGTCAATGGCTTCTCTTCCGGTGGGAGCCCGGTGAGGGGAGTGCCCCCACACTGCCTGACACATGGTATGTGCTCGGCAAATGCACGCTCAGTGACTCAAGGGAAACTTAGGGACAGTCCAACTGTAGGACGAGAAACTGAAACTGAGAATGGGTGAAACAGACAGGGAGACGAGAGTGAGAAAGGTGGGGAGGGAATGACAAGAAAAGGACTCAGAGAAAACAGGGCGAGAAGTGACGTCAGGGTGAGAGAATGAAGTGGACGGCCGGAGAAGGCAAGAACAGACAGAAGAAAATGCGGGAATTGAGAAAATCAAGGCCAACTGAGAGAAGGAGTGGAGGGTACAGCCAGAGAGAAGAGAGTGAGAGGGAGGTGTGAGCAGGGGATGGAGGGGGAGGGGCGCAGGTTGGTGAGAGAATCATGCCAGCCCGGCCTGAGCATCTGAGGGCAGGCAGGGAGCCAGGCTGAGTGAGCTGGGGAGACAGACGGGACAGGTGTGGAGGAGGAGGAGAAGCGACACACTGCGGAGCTGGGGGGATGCACAGGTGGGGCAGGGTGACCACAGAAACCACCTCGGGAGGGGCTGGAGAGGCCGACGCTCCCCAGACTCAGGCCTTTGGAGGAGGATACACACCTCCCAGGGCCTCTGCCCAATTCCACCTGGGCCCATGGATGGCACTGGGGACACGGTCCCACCACTCTCCTTTCCCTCCATTTCTAAGGTCCCTCCTGTGCCAGAGGAAATGGATGGAGGATGGAGGAAGGGGGGGAGGCAGAGATGGGACACCCTGACACCCAAGCCTGAGTGATATTTATAGATGCTTAGGGCACTGACTCCACACTGTCATCGCGGTAGGACAGCCCTGCCACGGGGCACTGGGGTCTTCAGCCCACCCCTGCTCCCTCTCCCCAAGCTTCCCGGGGCAGTGATGTGGGTGTCTGGAGGAGGGAAGGAGGCCTAGGGAGGTCTCTTCTGTCTGCCAGGGGCCTGGAGTTGTGGGAAGGCCTGTGCGGGGCAAATATAAAAACCGCTGAAGGGGGCAGAATCCCAGTAATCTTAGCCACCCGGCCCCCACCCCTCCCTGGTCAGGCATTAAGTGTCCCTCACCGGAGGGGCGGGGCGCCTTCTTGAGCTCTCCTCCTCCCAGGTCCCGTGCTCTCTGCTGGGCCTGAGTTTCCCTTACATGGCCGGGGGCTTGAGCCTTCAGCCTCCCTCCTCCCTTCCACACTCGCTCCTTCCCCTCTGAGAGGCCTCAAGGGCACTGAGAGGTCAAGACTGAAAGCTGACCAAGCTTGGGGGTGGGTGGAAGGAGAGGGAAGCCAGGCCTCCTCGGGCGGGGTGGAGACGGGGCTATTGGCAAGGCCTGCGTTCCACCTGTTGCTTGCAAGTGCTGGCTGAGAGCAGGGGGAGCAGGGGGTCTGCCTGCAGCTTCAGGGACAGGACTGGCTGTTCCTGCTGAGACTGACGGTGAGAGGGTGCCATGGCCGGAATGCCCTGGGCCGACCTTCTGAGGAGTCTGGGAAGGAGAAGCAGACTCCACCATCCTCCTGGACACTACGGTCAGGGGCTGACCAGCCCCCACCTTCTTCTTGGCCTTGGATCCACGGCCTCCCATCCTGGACCACCCATTCCCAACACTTACCGGCCACCTCGACAATGTCCCCTGGGACAATGTCCCGAGCCTTGATCCTTTGCACTGCCTTTCGGTCAGCCCGGTAGACCTTTCCCATCTCGGGTTCATACTCCTTCAGAGCCTCGATGGCGTTCTCTGCATTACGCTCCTGAGGGGACAGGGCAGGGAGAGGAGGGCCATCAGAGGAAGGAAGCTCATGGACAGGGGAGGGGTGGATTTGGGGAGTGGGGGGGGGTAGAGATGGAAGAGCAGGGACCAGGATCCTGGGGGAAACAGGGACATCACACATGAGGCAGGGTTATGCAGTTCTGGCTCCTGACACAAGGGAGGAGACAAAACCCCACATGAAGGCAGGGGTGTGTGCGTGCACATGTATGTGTGTGGAGGGGGCGTTAAGGAAATTGTCACCTATGGCTGAAAACAGGTGATGGGGTTTTGGGGAAAGAAGAAAGGAGAATCAAAGAAAATCAGAAAGCAGGGGACAGGAAAAGTAGAGGGTGGTGAGATAAGAGGAAGAAGGAAATCAAACTAGCGTCTATTGAATTCCTAGTCTATACCAGGCACTCTCATCATCTTGTTCGATTTCACCATGAGCCTGAGGGACAGGATTATTAGCCCCATTTTATGGATGAGGAAACTGAGGCTCAGAAGGATGAAGGAAACTTGCTTAGGGTGATATAGCCAGCAAGTGACAGTGGGTCACATTCTCCCACCTTTTCCCCAACACCCCATCCCATTTCCAAACTGGGTGATAGGACCCGAGGAAAAGGCAAGCCCTAGGGAAGTGATGGAGGAGACTGGAGGGGGGCTGTGTTGGGACATGAAGGAGTGAGGAGAGGTTGAAGCTAACCTGCCAAACCCCCACGATGGCATTGGCAATGAGGATCAAAAGGATGACAAAGGGTTCAACAAAGGCGGTGATGGTCTCTTCACCTTCCTCAAACCAGGCCAGCACCTGGGAAGCAGGGGAGAGGAGAATGACAGGTAATAAAGCCCCCAAAACAGGCGAAGAAAGGAAGTGGAAGGATTCCAGAGGCCACTGCAGAGGTGAGAATGTGTGCAGGTGCTAACAGGGCAGGGCATCTTGGGGGTGCTGCAGCCCCACATCTGCCTGAGGCTCTGCACACTCTGGGCTCAGACTCAGCATGCACCACCACTGCCATTATTCAGCGGGAACAGGCGGGCACAGACATGCACAACTTGGGGATTAACTGCAAATGCTTTCAGGTTCCCCTGGCTGTGTTGCTGGCTTGGAAGCCAACCTCAGGGGCCACGCAGGCCAACTACCTCCACAGCCACATCCGAGGGAGCCAAAATCCATAGGAAAAACCCTGTGGTCCTCATGGGCGCCTGGTCCACCCGCAGCCCTCCCCCACAGCCAAGGCAAGGGAGCTCCAATTTCATGAGGGAGCTGGAGGGGGGATAGTGTTACTGGGGCCTCCTGTACACACCCCGCCCCAGCTGTTGCCACTGCCAGGCAACAGACACAGGCAAATGTCAAGGAGCAAATCTGAGAAGGGAGGAGCGAGGCCCTGCCAGTTTGTACTCAGGGACGGACAGGGCCTCCCTTAAGGAGACCAAGGCACAGGGAGCCTTTTTTGCCCCCCAGTCTAGTCTTCCAGCAGGACTGAGATACTAATGCAGAAACTCCGAAATGCGGGCTGGACTGCTGGGGTCATGGGTGCTGCGGGGCTGTAGGAACTAGGAGAGCGCCCTGGCAGGAGAGGTGGCAGGCCCTGAGGAGGGCGGGGAAGCGGCAGCAGCAAGTCAGGCTGGGCAGGGAGGAGAGCGATCCAGAGTCCCAGCCCTGATGGGGGCGGGCCAGGGCGCGGGGCCTTGGGGCGTGTCTGGAGTCACCCTCGCACAGTAGCTTTCCCGCCTCGATGAGCGAGTCTTTCCCTCGACCAATCAGCGTTGGGAGGCCGGGGAGGGCGGGGCAGGGGTGCCAGAAGGCTCGGGGATTGGTGGAGCGGGCGGCCTGGGGCATGTCGGGAGAGGTAGTGGCCCGGGAGCTGCAGGCGGCATTAGAGCCCTGCTGCGAGCCCAGCGCTTGGGGGGTAACCCGAGCCCTCCAAGCCCTTGAAGCTGCGAGGGTGGCTTAGCTTCAGTGTTTTGGCCGAGAACACCCTTAAAGCTTAAAATAAAACCTGCCTGTGGGGTGTAGGGGAGGACAGAGGAGGACGCGACTCAGCCCCTCCCCGCCCCGTCTGTAAAGTAGGATGCTCGGGGCTTGGGCTAGAGGAGCCGGTGACCGGGAGCCCAGCTCTCCTCTGCCGCGAGCAAACGCTCCTGATGCCCCCGCTCACACCCCCAGCCAGCCCCAGACGCCCTCTCACACTTACAAACGAAATGCAGGCGGCCAGGAGAAGAATCCGCACCAGGAGGTCTTCAAACTGCTCTACCACCAACTCCCACAGGGACTTCCCTGGGGGAAGAGGCACGGAGAGGGGCCCGGAGTTAAGGTGTAGAGAATGAGGGTCTGGGACTGTGCGTGCAGGCTGGGGTCCAGGGACTAGAGTGCCCTGAGTTCCGGCCTGGAGCCGGAAGGCTCCAGGGTGATGGGCAGGCAGCGTGGTAGGAGAGAAGGGCTGAGAGAGCTCGCCAGGAGTCCAAAAACAGGCTCCTCCAAGTGGTAGGCAGTTGTTTAATGGTCGGATGCCTCCAGGAGAAAGTGCCCCCCACCCCCAGGACTCTAATCACTGGAGAGGGGTATTTGCCCAAGAGTCTATGTCGAAAGGAATGGGACACAGTGAGGAGGGAGGGTCATTTATGAGACCCCAGGGATTCCAGTAACTTACCTTCCTCGGCAGGGAGCTCTTCCCAGGAAAAAGGAAAAAGAAGAAAAGGACATATTCATTTTGGGGTTTGGCCTCATGCCCCCCACATCCAGGACTTTGTGGCAAAGGTAAGAAAATCAGGCTGCCAAAAGGGCATCTGAGGTTCATCAAGGTCATCCCACAAAACCTCCCAAAACGCCAGATCTCAGGCACCCTCTTTTCTCAGTATCCTCTTCCCCCTGCAATCATTGGACCATGGCCCAGCTCTTCCCTAAGATACTCTGGAGGGAGAAACTTTGCGTGTATGTGTGCGTGTGTGTGTGTGATGTGTGTGTGTGATGTGTTTGCGTGTGTGTTAGGTTTGCAGGAGGGCGTTACCAGCCTTTCTTCCGAGGGACACTCACCATTGGGGCCGTATTTTTCCAGATGCCGCTTAACTTGGTCCGGGGTGAGGCCTGTGGTCTCGCTCACCCCAAAATAGGCCAAACATTCCTCTGTGGTCTTGGCGTGTGCAGCATCCATTGTGCTCCCTTCCTGGGGGCCAGGGCGCGGTGTGTTCTTCTGGGGGGTTCTCACTCGTGAGGTCCTTCCTCAGTGTGTCCACCTGCCTGTCTGCGTGGGTTTCCTCCTTTTCCTCTCCTCCCCCCCCCCAGGTTTTTCTTTCCTCTATGAAGCTCTGAACCCCGTCCCACTTGCAGCAGCCGGCCACCCCCCAGCCCCCAGCTGGTCCTTATGAGGGAGTGGGGGGGGGGCCCAGGCTCCCCCCTCCCCTAGATCAAGGATTGGCTGGCTGAGACTCCAGCAGGAGGGGTCAGTAGAGAGATATTTCTGCTGACAGAGGGGGAACAGTGGGGCTGCAGCCTGAGATGTCACTCATGAGGGAAGCAAAGGTGGCCCCAGCCCCAGGAAAGGGGGGGCAGAGACACTTCACTTTCTGTCATCTGCTACTGACGTCATCCCCAGTTGCCTCAACTTCCCCAGTTGCACTGAATTTCCTGTTCCAAAGTCATCCCCCCAGCTCTTCCCTTAAGTCCTCTTCCACACCCGGGCCTCACCTTTCACTTCCACACACCCCCTTCCTGCCCCATCCGCCCTGAGCCTGGTGCCATTGCCACCGTCTCCTTCTCCCTCAGCTAGTTGTGAATGAGTGGCAGAGATACTCCAAGCCTTGGAGCACTGAAGGAGAGAAGACATCTTTTAGGGGCCAGAGGAAGTGGCCCTAGAGGGACAGGGGAAGTAAGGAGGGGAGAGGGTCAAGGGGACAGGGCAGAAGATGGTAACTCTACCCTAGGGAGGGGTTGCCACAGCCATCAACAAGGGATTTAGTGTCCAGGCCCTGGTGAGCAAAGCCAGCGCTGCACTGCCTGTCTCTCCCCTCATTGCTCTAACTCAGCCTCTGGGAACACAGCCCTCAGGGCCCCCCCATCCCTGACAGGGTATCCCCCTCCAAGAAAATGGGACATCCAAGCAGCCACGTAACCCAAGAGGCTACAGAATGTGCTGATGGCAGAGGGGGAGGGATAACTGTTTCAGGATGAGGGCAGGGGTCACCCCAAGTCACGGAATGAGGGTCACCTCACCCCACACTGCACTCTCTTTAACCCAAGAGGTCCACATGGCAGACCACAGGGGTGCCTGGTCCTCACTCCACTCTGCTACTGCATCTGTCGGCGAGGGGGAATGGGGATCGGAGCTGGGCACACCCCGCTGACAGGCGGCAAGGAAGGGGGCTGGGGAAGCCAGGTAAAGCGGAGGCTCCAGACCAAAGCAATGGTGGGCCCAGATTTCTGGGACACGTCTAGGGGAAATGAGGACAGAAGAGAGCTGGGGGCGGGGGGGACGGTGGAGCAGAGAGGGCCACCAGGGTCAGAGGGAAGTCTCAGAGCAGTGGGGAAAAGGGACAGCAGGGAGCTGGCTAGTGGCAGCCAGGTGGGCGGGGACCCCGGGGCTGGGTGCAAAGCCACAAGTTGTTGCTGAGCGGCTGGCCTTGGTGTCAGCTTCCTCAGAGAAGCAGCTGCTCTGAGCCACCCCTCCCCACCCCTGCTCCAAGATGGGGGCGTCTCTTGGTTACCACCAGGGCAGCTGCTGGAGGAGCAGAGGGAGGGTACCATGGGGTATGGGCAGGGGAGGAAAGGAAGGCAGAGGAGGCTGGATGAGAGTGTTGGTGAAAGGTCAGTGAGGGGAAGGAGCGGGGTGACCCAGGGCTCAAGTCTTTCCTCTGTCCAGGCCTCAGTTTCCTGAAATGAGCAAGGAGGAGTATGGACTATGAAAGGTTTCTTAAGGCTACTTCTCACTCAGGCTCAAGTTGCTAAGCAGAGAACATCATAAAAGACACAGGGGCAGAGGAAGGGGGAGCCCCCACTTTTGGGGAGGAGGTGTGGCCCGCAGGGGTGGATGAACCAGAGGATTTAGTCTCCCAGACTCATCCCTTCTTCTGCCTGGATTTTGGGGAGGCACAGCCTCCTGGGTGAGTTGAGGACAAGGTACTCCTTCCCGCCCCCTTTTCACAGTTCCAACAAACCCCTCCCCTGAAGCAGAGTCCTGCTGTGACCTGGAGTGTGAGGGGGCTCAGGCAATGGGGTGTAAGTTTTGGGGGGTCGGTCACATCACCAGGCATCTCCACCTGGCCCAGCACCTACTGTCTCAGGCTGGAGTCAGGCTCGACACCCGCCAAGGGTTTTGGAGCTGGCTGGCTTCTCCGCACCCGCACCGGAGGAGTGACAGGGGCCACTGTCTTAGAGCAGCAGGAATGCCCAAATATGGAGAGGGCAGACAGGAGAGATGGGTAGCTTCAAGGGAGTTGAGAGCATGAGACCTAGGGCAGAAGGCAGGCTTTACAGGACATTCCTGCCAACGGGGGGCCTTTAAGGTTATTGGTTCCTACCTCCCCCAGCTTCCCAGAGGGGGAAACCGAAGCCAGAGAGGGAAAGGCACCAGCACGGAGGCTGTGGGTGTGAACTGCGATGGAGGGAGGCTGCGTGAAGAGGCTCTCTGGTGGGTCCCTTCCCACGGGGGTCTCCAAGCCCAGGGCTGGAAGGTGCTCTTCCTCTCACACCTGAAGACTGGAGCTGAGAGAATGGGAGAGACCTGGTTCTGAAGGACGTGGAGATAGAGCCTGGCCAATCTCTGGCCAGTTCCGAACTTCGGTTTAACCATCTGCAAAGAAAGGCTTAGAAGGAGATGCCGTGTCAGGCTCCAACAGACAAGACGTGCCTGTTGGGTGGGTGTCTTTGTACCCCTCCCCTGCCCCATCTTTGGGAGGCAAGCGCCTGAAGGCTGGCAGGGTTTGGGGGAGGGGGAGCCTCAGAGCACCAGTTGCTGCTAGATTAGGAGAGGATCAGGCCCTGCTTACCCCGGGGCGCCACAGCTTTCGCTCACCATCTCACTTGGAGAACAGGGCACCTAGATCTCCAAAGCATCCCCCCTCCTTTTCAAGGCTAACTCTATCCCCAGTCTCCTGAGGCCAAGGTTTGGGGGAGCCCCAGTGATTAGATGGAACAGGGAGAGCCAGCAGGCTTCCCCCGGCTAGCTCCCAGTCTGGGTGGCCTGTGAGCCCAGCTGTCTCCTGTCCATCTCCTGATAGGACGCAAGGCCCAGAATAGCAAGGTCATGAGCGTGGGTAGGGCCTCGTGGCGGTGGGGGCCGAGGCTGAGCGGCATGGGTGCCGACTCCACGCTGCCTGGAGGGAGAGAGGCAGAGTGGTGAGAGGCAGAGCTGGACGGAGGTGCGGAGAGGGCCAAGTGAAGTAGGTGGGATTCTTCAAACCCCAGCCCCTCCTTGTTGGCACCCACCGGCCCCAGAGCTGGGAAGCCCAGGGGTGCCCTCTGTTGGAGAGCACAGCCATGGCTGTGTTTAAGGGGGGTGCTGCAAGGGGGGAGGCGTTGCAAACCCGACAGGTGAGCGATGAGCTGGTGGAGATGGAGCAGGAGTGGAAGATGGAGCTGTGCAGAAGCCAGTAATCTGGATTTTTTACGTGCAACTCACATGGAAACACTATCCAGGCCAAAGAAATCACGTCAGCAGCTGTGACTTAGAGGAAACGTCGCATTTTACAGATGAGGATACTGAGGCCCAGAATGACTACACCTTGCCCAGCTCACAGCCAAAGAGTGGCAGTCAGGACCGAAGGCAATGCTCTTTGTCATCAGTCCTCCAGCCTGGCTGAGAGGGGGGCAGGCACGGCCCCTTTGGAACCAGACTCTGACTGCCACATCAAAGCTCTCCCAAAGCTCTCCCAACGTGCCCCACTGTCTGCCTGCCTGCCTCCTCCCTAGGGCAGGAAAGCCCTAGGAGATCATCAGTCCTGCGTTCACTGTCTTACCGCACTAAAAGAACTTGCTGGAGACCCCAAGAAGCACCATTTAGCTCTGCAGTTACCTCTCAATAAACAAGACTGCCCCAGAGAGGGTGACAGGGGCAAGGCCTGGGCCGGCTCTCTGGCCTCTCAGCTCTGGAGCTCACGGCACTGTGCTGCCTTCCCAACCCGCCTGTCCCAGTCCCCACTGCAAACACTGGCCACAGCCATCATGATGGAACTGAGATAAACCCTTTTATTTATTTATGCTTCTCCATTTTGTTTAAAACAACAACAACAACAATCTTACTGTAACTGACAGCCCTTCCCCCCTCACCCTTCCTTGGGCTGAGGGGTGGTTAATGGGAAAATGGCCCCCAGGGGTGGGGCTGACCACAAGAGCCCCTCAGGGAGGTAATGGAGCCCAAATCCTCTGCCCAGGGGAAGGGGCACCTGTAGTGTATGAACTGGGGGGTCAACAGGGCTCTTGAACCTCTGCTTGTACCAACATGTATGCCCTTGGCCAATGGGGTCGGGAAGCATGTGGGAGGGGTTTCTACCTCTATGTCCCTCCCCAGCCCAGTCTCAGGAACTGCGGGCTGGGGAACAAAGAGTGGAGGAAGGGTGGGTAGGGCGTCTCACACAAAGGAGTACTGGTTATTAATGGCTCTGGGGTGGCCCCCTTCTTCTCCATCGCCCCCTCGTGGTAACTGCTGGAGCTGCACCATCAGGGTCACCCCCGAGTTCCCACCAGATCCAGCGCCTCCCTGGGCCTCCGTGCAAGGTGCTACGGCCTCTTCCAATTCAGCCATGGGGACCAGCTCAGCCACGGGGACCAGCTCTTCCTGGACCCCTCCAGCGCCCGCTTTCTCTTTCTTTTGCCTCTCTTTGGCTGCTGCGGCTGTTGCTGCCGCCACTTCTGGTGCCCCCGACGCCTCTTCTGCCCCAGGATGTGGGGCATCTGTCCATGAAGGGAGTTCAGGGGGCTGGGGTGGGTCATGGGAGGTGTTCGATTCTGGATAGGAACGGTAAGAAGACAGACTGATTGTGGAGGGAGGCGAGCTCTTGCGGCAGCCTCCCCTTCACTGGTCCCCCCAGGAGCCATGTGCTATCTCCCCCACATCCCATCTCCTGAGTGACCCCACCCCCACCCCCCGTCCATGGAAGATGGATCATGGGCGGTGGTGAGAGGAGGACCACACTTACACACAGTCACTCGCTCCGAAGGGCATGAGGGTGGAGGAGGCATCGGGGTGGCATCCATCTCCCTCGCACACCCCTGCATGGCTCCCAGCCTGCTCCCGGCCTGGGGGGAGGGGCAACGTGGGGACAGATGGGACGTTGGGGCAGGGGGAAAGGGAGAGATCAGACAGGGGCATCAGACGCCAAGGGAGCAGGGCGGGGGAGCAGACGGAGCACCCCCAAGGAGGGCAGGCCCAAGGCCAGGCTGTGCCGAAGGGCAAAGACAAGGCCGGGGAAGATGGATCCAGGAGACAGACAGACGATGGAACAGAGGGGTCCGATGGAATGGGGATGCACCAGCCCACCTCACAGCTGCCTCCCCGCTCCAGCAAGGAGCCCTCTGCCTTCCTACGTCCTATCGGCATATTTCTTTCCCTCCCAAACCCCTTGGGAGGAACCTTCCCTACCCTGCTCTCCCACGCAAAGCCTCTCCTCACAGCCCCCCGCCCCATCTTTCTGGCGCACACACCTCACTTCTTGGGTGCGCAGGCACCTCCTCCCCTGCAGACCTGCTCTGCTCACCCTGCTGTCGCTGGGAGGACGGGACATAGCTGACAAGGACAACATCACTGGAGCCTCCAGACTCCAGAGGGATGGGGTGCACCCGGAAATGCTCGAGCATATCGAAAATGGACTGGAACCACAGGTGCTGGACCCGGCACTGACCCTCCTCATTCAGGGACAAACGCAGGTGCTGAGGGCAGGATGAGCACAGTTAGGCAGGAGCCTAAGCTGCTGCCAGTTACATAAGCCTCCTCCCCTGGACGGTGCCCCCCCATCCACCCACGAACCCTGCAGGGAACAGAGCCTGTTCCTCAGTCACTCACCTTGGCCTTGCCCTGGAAGTTGAAAGTGAGGACATATTCACCCCGCCTCGTCTCGCTCTGCCGCACCAGGAAGACACCATGGGAGCCAGTGCCTCCTGTCAGCACTAACTGGGCAGCCTTGAGTCGAGAGAGCATCCCATGGAACCAAGGATATCCGGATAGGGGCTGGTCCCCATCACCTCCCTCTGACTCCCCCTGGAACAGGAATGACCCTTCAGGAAGGAGAGAGGGAGGGAAACCGGGGTGTCAGGGAAGCCTCCCCCATCCTGGGAGAAAAGAGCCCTGCTATTCTCTTGAGGCGCCTCCTCCCCTCACGTGGCATCTCTCCCCCCCGGGTCAGATCCCTCAGGATCCCAAGGTAGGAATTTCAGGCAGGCAGGCAGGCACGGGGGCCTGGAGACACACACTCACACCTCTGGTACCTGTGGCTGTTTCCGGAGTGTCCAGGGGAGGGTAGGGGGCTGAGAGGGGATGAACTGTCCCTGCTGGGGGTCCTTCTTCAATGGGGATGCGGGGGGGCAACTCTGGGGGAAGCAGTTCCATTGAGTCAAAATGGGAGGCGGCAACGGAGGCGGAACTGGGGGAGATGGATGCTGACGGGCGGTCTGAGAGGCCCCCGTATGCCCCTGGAAAAAAACGGGGAGGGCAAAGTTGAGAACTCAAGCTCCTCTTGCACAGGGCTGGTCTCCTGGGCTGTCGCCAGCAGTCTACCCTGTGTGCACTGGCAGAGTCAGCAGGCCGAACGCCAACACCTCTGCAGGTAGTGACCCCTGCCGGGCTTTCACCAGTCCCTCCTAACTTGATGCTTCTGGCCCTGCTGAGTTATTGCAGGGAGGTCCTAGAATCCAAATGCCTCTATCTTTTCTGAATCAACAGCTGAAAACTGTTGCAGAGGTGGGGGGTAGAATGCCTCAAATATTTTGACATTAAAAAGAAGTCCTTTTTGGACTACAGGACAAAGCCCCCAACTCTAAGATCCTCCTTCTATTAATCCCCCCAACCTTTACCAACTCCATCTTTAACTCTTTTTTTTTTGGTAGAGACAGGGTCTCACTATGTTGCCCAGGCTGGTCTTGGACTCCTGGCCTCAAGCCATCCTCCTGCCTTGGCCTCCTAAAGTTCTGGGATTACAGGTGTGAGCCACCACGCCCGGCCTCTTGATCTTTACCTTAACTTGTATTCATATATCCTTCACTACAGCCCAATCATCCTGTCCAATTTTTCCAGATATCCTGGGCCCTCCCACCTCAGGTCTCTGCCCTCATCATTTGCCTCCTTCAAGCCATGTTCTTTCTCTCACCTCTTCCACCTTCCCCTGTTCTCTTTCTCCTCTGAGCTCCCAACGCGCCTCCTGCTTGTGCGGCTCGGGACACTAAGCATAGACTCTCCAACTTGGGGACTTGCTTTTTATAGAGAGTGATGTCTTGTCAATCCAGCTAGACTGTGAGCCCATGGAGGGCAAGGAGCTCATCTCAGGCATCTCTGAGTCCCCCATCCTGCCCCAGAGACTAGCACAGGGCCAGGGAAGTACCAGGGCCTTCCTTCCTGGGTGTCTGGAGAGTAGCAGGCCTGGGCCGACACGAATGTCGTACGTAGTTGGTGCACAGAAGACAGGTATGTGTGGAGAGCAGAGAGCAGTGACTCAGGAATCAGGCTGGCACAGCCCCTATCTTTGTCAGTGACTCTCAGGTGACCCCAGAAACGCCCTTTCCTCTCCCTGATCTTAGCTGCCTGAGAGCTGATAACTTGTAAGGTCCACTCTGGCTCTAAGATTCTACGGTTCATTTGTCAGTTCACTGAATACAGCCTGTGTGCCAGGCACTCTGCAGCTGAAACTCAGAACAGAGGGTCAGGAGAAAAGAGTATAGTGGAAGCCGAGTCTGGAAAGGTGAGTTGGGACCAGGTATGTATGTCTTTATGTGTCTCTGTGTGGGTAGGGTATGTGTATTTGGTCAGACCAAAAAGTAGAGTCAAAAGAAAATTCGGTGCCTTCAACATACATACAGAGACACAAACTTGAGAGCAAAACAAAGATTTCTACGAAGTGTTCTAGAAGCTTGGAAAAGAGAACTGTCATCTCCAGCCAGAGTGGCAGCCTGCAGGAGACTTACGGTAAAAGTGACAGGGCTGGGCGTAGAAGACTGAATTAGAGTTTGCTTGGGGACCGTGTGTAGTGGGGATGGTGACAGTCCTAAGTGGCAAACTGTGGCTTGAGAGTGCCTGGCATGTTCAGAGACAGAAGACGAACATTCGGACATTCGGTGGAGGCAGGGCAGCTGGGGGAAGAAATGGGACGCGCAGCAGAGCCTAGAGAGTGTGGAGCCTGACAGCAGGGGCTCGCGCGGCAGCTTCTGAGGCTCACAGCTCTTCTAAGGCTCCATCCTTACCCTGCGACAGGCGATCGTTGCTCTCGCTGGGTCCCAGCAGCAGGTCCTGGCTGGGCAGACTTTCTGAGTGATTCAGGCAGGACAGCTCCAGGCTGTCCATGTTCTCCCTTGTAAGGAATGAGGTCCCAGGGGCCAGAGGGAGAGTCATGGGGCGGGGACTGGTAGCAGGGCAGGGTCTGCAGAGACAGGGAAAATGGTGCTGGGAGGAAAGTCACCAGGTGAGAGGCACAAGGCTGCTCCCCACCCCCACCCCCAGGTCCCCTCAGTAACAGAAGTCAGGCTTCTCACCCTGGGCTCAGGCACTCCTGGATATCAGACACCCAGGCCTTCACATGTTGAGCATCAGCTGTCTCTAGGATATACTCCGAGGGGCCTTCCACCTATGGACACAAGAGGAGGGCCTCACCCAGCGCAGGGGTCAGGGAGGAGGCCCACAAGCCATGTCCACGTCCTGAGTCCTTAATCCACCCCTAATGAGAATAAGACATGTAGGCTGTCTAAAAAGAAAACATGGGCCGGGCGCGGTGGCTCACGCCTGTAATCCTAGCACTTTGGGAGGCCCAGGTGGGAGGATCACTAGAGGCCAGGAGTTCCAGATCAGCCTGAGCAACAGAGCAAGACCCCATCTCTACAAAAATAGAAAAATTAGCCAGACATGGTGGCATGTGCCTGTAGTCCCAGCTTCTCAGGAGGCTAAGGCAGGAGGATCACTTAAGTCCAGGAGTTGGCAGGTTGCAGTGAGCTATGATGATGCCACTGCACTCTAGCCTAGGTGACAGAGCAAGACCCTGTCTCAAAAAAAAAAAAAAAAAAGTATTTAAACTCTTTTGGAGCAGAGGCATTGTTTTTGAGAACAGGAACATCTCCTTCTCTACCCACCTTCCTTCCGGAAAAGCTACAGCCCCAGGCACACACTCTCAAGACACTGGATACGTACATACCCCACCCTGCTAATGTCACTTGCTTAAATGTATTGAGAGCTTTCTCCCCAACACAAGCATTCCCAGGGGGTGGGGACCTCAGAGCTCCTACCTTAACCACAAATGTGTTCTCCCGGTCAGGCATCTCCAGGGCTGTGGTCGTCCGGACATCTGTGATCGTGGAGCAGGGAATGCTGAGTCGGGGCCGAGATGCCTAGGTTGGGAGGGAGAACAAATCCACGTTTTTGGTGTGCAGGCACCATCTTCCCCTCTACATCCTAGGGGAGTCAGAGAGAGGTAATAACACTGCTTTCTCCATCCTGCCCACAGCTACTAACACGGAGCCGGGAGCTAGCTTTAAAAACAAACAGTAAGCAAAGTTCTGCATGTGTGCTAAACCCCACAGCTTACGTGAAGGGCTGAGTTATCACCCCAGCTGCTCTATCACTCGCTCCCAGTCACCCACCCTCCTTGGGGGCTCACCTTGGGTGGTACAAAGAACTCCAGACGACTTCCTCCTCCTCCTTCTCCTTCACTTCGAAGCAGTAAGCGACACTTCTGCCACTGAGGTTGCCCTCCTCCCCCTGAGGTAGGTCCAGCTGCCCCACCTCCCCGGCCCACTCCGGCTGGCTCAGGGGCTGCCTCTTCAGCCCCCATGAAACTCAGCAGCTCTTCCCTCTGCACCGTCCCCACTGCGTCCTTCAAGGCCCCCCCTCCCCGACTGAGTCTCAGCCTCTCAAAACGGTGAGTCCATCTTTCCCCAGGGGATGTTCCATCACTTGCCAGTCCCCTACCAATGGTCCCAGCCCCACCAGAGGAGTTGGAGTTGCTGTTTCCACCTAAGACTGGGGGGCCTGATGAGGTTTCCAGGGGCCCCGCTGGGGAGGGGGGGTCAACGGTCCCCCGCCACTGCAGGATGCCACGGACTGAACCTCGGACGGAGCGACCCACTGATCGGAGGGAGAAGCGTTTCTTTAGCTTCGGCTTCGAGGAGGTCGTAGAAGAGGAAGAGACTGAGGAAGGGAGGGGGCCGGCCAGGTCCTCAGATGATCGAGAAGGGCCCAGCACAGCCAGGGGCCCGCCCACCCTGCAGCTCTCAAGGGACAGGTCATGTGGTGAGATCTCCACACCAGGACTCAGGGGAGCCAGGATGGGTGGTGAGAGGGAGCCAGAGGCCCGGGCCACCTCCGCTTCGAAGTGCTGCAGGAAGAGCTCAGCAAAACGGCGGGAGAAGGCAGCCTCAGCCCCCGGCCCCGCGTATTGGGGGTGGGAGGCCAGGTAGAGACGGAAACGGCGGGCAAAATCCAGGGCGGCAGCCCGGGCATGGGACTCGCAGAACTCCCGCCAACTAGGGGGAGGTGGTGGCGGCAAGGGGGGAGGGGAGGGGGAAGCCCCATCCTCTGGGGAAGGGGCACCATTCATGATGGTCCCCAGGAGGTGGAGAGGGGGAGCCTGCGGGGAGGGGCAGCAAAGAGGGAAGCGGCCAGAAGACACGGGCTGAGCGGCAGCAGCTGCAGGAGAGAGAGGCACATACACCGGGTCACTGCTAAGGTGGGACTAGCGGAGAGTCCCACCCCAAGCCAGAGACTCCCTAGGCCAGTTCAGACTCCTCATAGAGCAATGGGGAAGAGAACTAAGCCGCCTTTCCCTCTCCCAGATCCTCCCACCCCACAAGCCCCACTCAACTGGCGCCCCAATGTCTAGCCTACCCACACCCTGCTGCCGTCCCAGTCACTTCCCCTGGCTTCAGATCCACAAGTGACAGAGGACTGTGGAGCACCCGCCCCCCAAAAAAAGTCTTTTCCAGATCACCCCCTTCTCTATGATGGATCCTCCAATATTCATTAAACACTTCCCATGTGACATTCTAGAGGATTCCACGTGGTTATCTTACCTTTACCTGTGAGAGGTTTTAATAGCCTAACAGATGAGGAAACTGAAGCTCAGAAAAGTTTCACAACTCCAGGTCTACTGTTTTTCCCACTGCATAGTCCTTGTCCCCAGGGAGTGCCTTACCGCTCCAGCTCTCATGGGGCCAGAGAAGACCTGGGACTACAGAGCTTAGAGACTCTGCCTTGTGCACCTTATGGTCCAGCCTTTTGGAGTGAGGTTACCCATCAAGGAGGATGGATGGAAGATGGATCGAAACAGCAATTGTTTTGAAAGCTCACCCCGAGTCCAGCACCCAAGCACTGTGTGAAGGAGACTTGGAATAGCTACAGTCCAGCCCACTTCTTCGGTGCCCCTTCAGCCTGGGGCCCAGAGGCAGCAGCACCAGGGGAGACCGTGGGTTGGGTCAGGCAAATCTCTGCTGGCCAAAATATCACAGGGAGCTGGGGCTCTGGGATTTTTCACCTCCCTCTTCTCTCATTGGGGAGTGTGCCCTAAAGGCTGGTTAGCCTGCAGCTTAAAGGCCATGGGTTCTGACATCAGACTTAGGCTGAAACCTCAGCTCAGCCACCTATTAGCTGTGTGATCTTGACAAATTACATGTCCTCTCTGAGCCTCAGTTTTCATATCTATAAAACAGAGTTAATGATCCCCACCTGCTAGAATTGTTGGGAGAATTAAGTGGAATATGTCAGTTCTTGACACAAAGTAAGCACACAATAAATGACTGCCATTGTTACTATCTTCACGGAGGAGAAAAGTATCACAGTTCTAATACTCTAAAAGAGAAATTAAAGAAAGGAAGAGCCTTCCCAAGGTCTTACAACTAGAAAGTGGCACAGCTGGGCGTGGAATTTACAACCCACGGCTCTTTTGTTAATGCTCCTCCATGCTGTCCTGGAAGGTAACTGGGGCCAGGGCAGCTCAGAAAAGTCTCCCCAAACCCTCCGCAACCTCTGACTCCTACTCAACCCACAGCCAGGATGAAAGTCAGCGACCCCTGCTCTATCACCTTGGCCTAATCCCTACACACTCAGACGGCCCCAACCATAGGGATAACTCCAAACCAACGAGAAGCAGCCAGGAGACGCAGGAGTCATGGAGCACGGGGGAACCGAGCCAAGAGGTGCAGACACAGCAGAGACCAATCTCCAGCCAGAGGCCACCTCAGCTCGCACAGGCCCACTCAACCCTCTGCACCACAGGCAGACCCAGCCCCCCTCAGGTCCGCTGACCCTGCGGCTCCTGAGCTGGTGACTCAGTTTCTCTTCTGCCAAGCAGGACTCAGACACATTTTCCCGGTGCACCTGCCTCTTGGCTCAGTTCTGATATTTCCCGAAGGGCGGGCGGTGGAGAGTGCAGGCTCCGCTCCTGGCTTGGACCCTCCGGGCCCGGTGGTCAATCCACTCCGACCCGACCCTACTCCCTGGACACCCCGCACCCGCCCATTCCCAGGGGACACAGCCTCCTCAGGACCAGCCCTGTCTGCTGCACTCTGCGGGGCCGAGCGCCCCGCTGCCCGGCCCTCCACGCCCACCCCCACCCAGGGCTCGTTCTCAGGCGCCGAGGCCGGGACGCGGAGAGGAAAGAGGCACTTGAAGAGGGGGGTTCCGGTTCCGGTCCCACCTGCATCTCGGTCCCCGCGGTTAGCTCCGGCGGCGGCGGCAGCTCCCGCTCCCTGCGCACCCCCCACCCCCTCCGCGACAAGCGCCCAACCCGGTTTTGCGCAGGCGCCGGGACCCCTTTTCCTGTCGCGGAAGGAAGCGACCATAGAGAAGAGCGGCGAAGGGAAGGCTACCTTAATACTTACTTCCGCCATTCTCCTAGTCCGCGCAGACCCTTAAGACCTATAGGAGTGAATCTCGTAGGGTTTCAGGGACTTCTCCAGTTGCACCTAAAAGGGACCACAGAGACAGCCGTAGGAAGGGGTGGGATCCCACCAGAACGTCCTCTCGGAGGACACTCGGGACAAAGGAGATATGTCGACCATAGAGAGGGCACTTTAGGCAACAGAGTCCCGAGGCCCTGCTGAAGGCTAGAGTAGCCGCCGAGTACCGGAAACCAGCGAGGTGATGAGGCTTTTTGAAGGGCCCGCTGCAGCCTAGAGCGCCTGGCCGGGCTGCTGAGGGGGACACGGACACCGCCCCCAAGGCTCTGGGCGAGGAAAGAAACGGGTGACCTTCGGGAGGCCCCGCGGGGAGGCGGAGCCTGAACTTACGACCTTGGTTTCTCTGAGAGGGGAAATAAGGATAGGGGTGAGAAATAATGAGGTCAGTTTTGGATGTGCTTGTGGGACATCAGGAAGTAGGTGGGCATACAGCCCAGAGTTCAAGAGAGACATCAAGGCCAGTTGAAACTGAAAACAATTAAGGTATACAGGGTTAGTCGAAATCGTGAGCATATTGAGATGCTCTATCAATCCTGTCTCTCATTGACCAGCTCCAGCTGGCCTAAACGATAGGGAATCTATGGCTCATGTAATTGAAAAATCCAGAGTGGATCAAACTTCTTCCAGTTTGATACAGGGGCCAAAAGATACCAGGAACCTGTGGTTCACCATCTCTGGTCCTGCTTTCCCTATACACTTCGCTTCACTCTCAGGCAGGCTGTCCTCTCTTAGTGGCAAGATGGCTTTCTATAGCTCCAAATTTAAGTTCTACTAACCTAGCAACTCTAGAAGAAGAACGCTTCTTTTCTGAGGTTCCCAGTGAAATTTCCAGAACTGACCAGCTGATTGGATTAAATCCCCATCCTGGAACCTTACAGAGGCAACTAACCCAAGAAATGGAGATGGATAAATACCCTGACTCTCATAAGAATGTTTGTTCACAGCTGAGACTGCCAGATGGAGTTGGAAAAACTTGTGGAAAGGCCTGGCCCGGCCAATCTTAGCCCCTAGCTCTAACCCAGCTACCGTCAGCTCACAACACACCAGCTTTGTTCATCCCTCTTCCCAGTTCAGAGGAAGATGTCAATGAAAAGGACCCTATTCCTGTGGTCCACCCCACTTTCGCCCCACATACCCTTACACACCCTTTCGCTGTAGTTGGTCCATCATTGTCTGGGAGAGAGACACACAGCTGAAGATTACAGAAAGGCAAGAGGCTAGTGATGATGAGTTGGGTTTGGAAGTGTTATGTCTAAGCTGCCCAATAAAACTTTCTGGGATGACCGAAATGTTCTACATCACACTGGCACTGCCCAATATTGTAGTCACTAGCCACATGTGACTATTAAGTACTTGAAGTGTGGCTAGTGTGACTAAAGGACTGAAGTTTTAATTTTAGTTAATTAAAATTAAAACAGGCGTGGCATGGTGGCTCACGTCTGTAATCCCAGTACTTTGAGAGGCCAAGGTAGGAGGATGACTTGAGCCCAGAAGTTTGAGACCAGCCTGGGTAATAGTGAGACCCCATCTCTACAAAAAAAAAAAAAAAAAAAAGTAGTGGCACATACCTGTAATCCTAGCTACTTGGGAGGCTGAGGCGGGAGGATCCCTTGAACCCAGGAGTTTGAGGCTGCTGTGAGTTATGATTGTGCCACTGCACTCCATCTTCAGTGACAGAGTAAGACCCTGTCTCTAAAAATAAATAAATTAAAACAGCCACAAGTGGCTAGTGGCTACTAAACAGTGCAGGAGGTATCCTTGGACAACTAGGTGGAGCTGTCCAGCAGAGATGAATTTATAGTCTGAGCTGCACAAAGCAGTTTGGTGTGATCAGACATGAGAAGTAGTTGAAGCCATGGACATCAATGAGATTGTCCAGGCCATATATATAGAAAGGAGAAGAGGGCCTAGAGCCTAGTCTGGGGAATAATCAACTTTTTTTTTTTTGAGACAGAGCCTGGCTCTGTTGCCCTGGCTAGAGTACCGTGGCATCAGCCTAGCTCACAGCAACCTCAAACTCCTGGGCTCAAGTGATCCTCCTGCCTCAGCCTCCCAAGTGGCTGGGACTACAGGCACGCGCCACCATGCCCAGCTAGTTTTCTCTATAGATATATTTTTAGTTGTCCAGATAATTTCTTTCTATTTTTAGTAGAGACGGGGTCTCGCTGTTGCTCAGGTTGGTCTCGAACTCCTGACCGTGAGCGATCCACCTGCCTGGGCCTCCCAGAGTGCTAGGATTACAGGCGTGAGCCACCACACCCGGCCAATAATCAACATTTAACAGGTAGGCAAAGAAAGAGAAGTAGAAAGTGCTGAGATGATGTCTTGGGTGAGGTTTCCCAGAAATGCCTGAAGATGAGGATTTGTGTGCAAATGATTAATTAAGAAAGAGCTCTCAGGAGAAACCAGTAAGGGAGTGGGAGAAGGAGAGGGAAGGAGGGAAAGCCAATCAAGTGTGTGAAATCAGGTGGAGAGTAGTTCCATTTGATCTCACAGTGGAGCCCTAGATATAAGTATGCCTCAGATTTGTCCAGAAACAAGGGAGCTGGGCCTTTCAGACACAAACATCACTCAGCCATTGACCAAAGGGCTACTATGCCCTGGGAGATGTCAGTTCACAGCTACTTCCATCAAGACAAAGCCCTCCAGTAGCCTGAGGGTGTTCCTAGAAAAAAAAAAATCTTATAATCCTAACTGTTAAAACCACACACCAGGCCGGGCGCGGTGGCTCACGCCTGTAATCCTAGCTCTCCGGGAGGCCGAGGCGGGCGGATTGTTTGAGCTCAGGAGTTCGAGACCAGCCTGAGCAAGAGCGAGACCCCATCTCTACTAAAAATAGAAAGAAATTAATCAGACAACTAAAAATATATAGAAAAAATTAGCCGGGCATGGTGGCGCATGCCTGTAGTCCCAGCTACTTGGGAGGCTGAGGCAGAAGGATCGCTTAAGCCCAGGAGTTTGAGGTTGCTGTGAGCTAGGCTGACGCCACGGCACTCTAGCCTGGGCAATACCGTGAGACGCTGTCTCAAAAAAAAAAAAACAAAAAACAAAAACAAAAAAAACCACACACCAAAGACCAGGAAGTGTGGGAGTATAGGATGTGGGTGTGTCAGGAGAAATGGGCAAACACATACACAAATGGTAAAAAGGGATCCCTGGAGATCCGGGCTGTGCACTGCCATTGTCTGCTGCAGAAGACATTGATTCCTCATTAGTATAGTGATGAGAAAACAACATAAAAAAAAAGAAGACATTGATAATGAAGAGATTGCTCAGCCACCTTGGCGAGAGTAATTTTAGGGACGTGGTGGTGGCAGAAGACAAATGGTAGTGGTTTGAGGAGTCAGTGGAAGGCCAGGTAGGAGGAATGTGACTGAAAAGGGGAGAGAGAGGGTTGTGGTTTGAGAAGATGGAAAGATTTGCTTGGTTTTTTAATTTTTAATTTTTTTTAAGAGACAGGGTCTTGCCGTGTTGCCCAGGCTGGAGTAGGGTGGCTATTCACAGGCTCATCCTGCTACTGACCAGCACGGGAGTTTTGACCTACTCTGTTTCGGACCTAGGCTGCTTCACCCCTCCTTAGGCAACCTGATGGTCCTCCACTGCCAGTCACTCTATTGATGCTGAACCTAGTGCCCATAGGCATAGCGTGCTACAGCCCAGAACTGGGTTTAAGCGATCCTCCCACCTCAGCCTCCCAAGTAGCTGCCACTACAGGTACTGCACTGAGCTGCTTGTTTGCTTATATCCTGAGGGAGACCTGATTAAGTTGGAAGCCTGAGGGGAAAGGAGCCAGCAGAGAGGATGGTCACTGAAGGAACAAGGTTCTAGGGAAGGTGGGTAGGGATGGTTAAGGGTCCAGGTTAAGCCAAGGTATTAATAATGAAGGGTAGAAACATTTCTTCAGGAACAGGAGATGTAATGCTCAGGATCTTTCAGCTACAAGTAATAGAAACCTGAATTTAAGCCAACTTAAACATGAAAAGAGGGGAAGTTTATGCATTCAAAGAATTGAAAAATCAGAGGTAGAATAACCTCAGACATGGCTGGTGCCAGCGTCTCAAACAATGTTAATTTGAACTTGGTCTCCATCTCTTTTATCTCTTTTCCCTGGACTGGCTTCATTCTCAGGCAGGTTGTCCCTTCGTAGTTAGCAGGATGGCCACCAGTAGGGCCAAGCTTCATTCTACCAGCTGAACAACGCTGGCAGAAAAAGAACATAGCTTTCCCAATAGCTCCAGCAAATGAAGTAGAGTTGAATCTCATCAGCTCAGCTGAGGAGACCCAGTGACCATCTGTTGTATAATACAGGATTTGGAGCTGGGTGTGGTGGTTTGTGTCTGTACTTGGGAGGCTGAGGTGGGAAGCTTGCATGAGGCCAGGAGTTCAAGACCAGCCTGGGTGATATAGCAAGTCTGTATCACTAAAATAAACAAATCAATTAATTAAAAAAAATTTTTTGAGACAGAATCTCGCTCTGTTGCCCCAGCTACAGTATAGTGGCGTCATCATAGCTCACTGCAACCTCAAACTCCTGGGCTCAGGTGATCCTCCTGCCTCAGCCTCCCAAGTAGCTGGGACTACAGATAATGCCACCATGCCAGGCTAATTTTTTCTATTTTTGGTAGAGACGGGGGTCTCACTCTTGCTCGGGTTGACCTCAAACTCCTGACCTCAAGCAATGCTCCCACCTCAGCCACCCAGAGTGCTCGGATTACAGGTGTGAGCCACCTCAGTGGCTGTAACTTAATTAAAGAAAGAATTTGTCTGGTTCCTGGCACAGAATTTCTAAAACACTCGGAATTTCCTGAGTAATAGAAATGTCTGTTATTCATGAGTCCCTCATATAACACAGGAGTTTTTGCTGATGAGGTGACTGATGGCAGGCCTCTAGTTAGCTTCAGAAACCTTGTGATT